GCTGGGCGGGGCCGGGGAGCCCGTAGAGGCGAGTGGGTGCTTCTGGGCGATTTGACACATTATTTTACACCTTCTTCGGGCCTCGATGTCGAGGCTCCTTTGTCCCCGCCACGATGGGGCCGCGCAGGGGAGGCCGTTCTTTGTCCTGGGCCTCGGGCCCGGCCCCCAGAATCCTTTGCGCGGGGTTTTGTTCTGGGCGAGCGAACGGGTTTTCTCACGTTTGTGGGAAAAGCTGCGGGCGGGTTCGCGCCCAGCCTCCTTCGCTTGCAGTTTGCAGGTTTTTATTGAGATTTCAGCAGTTGGAGTTTACCTATTTTTGGGGGTGGGTGGGTTTTGAGGATATAATGGGGAAAATATTTTTGGTTTGTGAAATATTAGGAAAGCTATTGTGGGATCTCAATCTGCTACTGTGTATTGACAGGTTTATTTAAATTTATTGGGAAACAAACTTGCATTGTGTGTCTAGAACATTTCCCCCCTTAAATGCCTAATTCTGTGAAATGTTGGTTTCTGGGGGTGCGATGCAGTGAAGGAAGATCGTCAACGTGCGGGCAGAACACATTTCGCTTTTTCCAAATTAACCCATTTTGCAAGTGTGGGGGTTGGCGAGAGGGCATCCTGGTGTTTTTATTAATTAATTGTATTACAGCTGCTGTGTGGGGCCGGCGGAGGATGCATTTCCGCCCTGGGGGCATTTGTGGGGTGCGCCCGAGGCCCCCATGCCCTGCGCCCGGGTGCGAGGGGCAGCCTGCAGTTCAGTGGGCGGTTTTCCCACGAGGACGGTGCTGAGCCTCATCATGGTCCGCGGGAGCGCGGCTTCCACGGGCTGTGCCCTTTGGGGTGTAGGCGTTCCCTCCAGACGCCCCCACCTGGACTGGGAGAGCAGAGGCTTTTCATATTAACTTACTAGACATGAAAAGTCCGATGGGAGGGTCTCCTTTTAGAAAGGACCTTGGTCAGAACAAAGCTTTAGGCCTCAGGACAGGCTGAGGGGCGATGGCGCCCCTTTGTCCGCTCGAGGACGGAAGTCACAGCGTAGGGCTCAGGGGGTTGGGAAGCTCCGCCTCCCAAAGTGCTTTTCTTCTGTCTGCCCTGAACCAGCGGTTTTTAAAAGTTAGATTTCGACCAGGGGCTCCTGAGTCTTCCCACAGGAAGGGCCACGTGGCAGGTTTGGCGCCCGCGGCAGCCATTTTGTGAGCCGGCGGCCATCTTGCGGGCGGCCATTTTGTGTCTCTCCCCTGGCGGCCATGTTGGGCGGCCATTTTGTGAGCTGGCGGCAGGCGAGGCCCTAAGATGGCGGCTGCGGCTCCAGCCTCCCTTTGTTCCGGTTCGTCCTCGCAGGGGGCGCCCGCGGGGCAGGCTTGTCACTTAAAATGGATTCCTTTTCTCCCCTAACGAAGGCTCTAGTCTATTAGGGACATTTTTCAGGCCATTTTCCATCCACGTGGCAGTGCCCGGGGCCGAGGCTCCATCTGCAGAGAACGCGCGGGCTTTCATGGGGTGGCGAGGGCGGTGTCCTCCCACTGGTGCTTCACTTTCCGACCCCCAGGTCCCCTGGCGTGAAGGCGCCTCGTGGGGGGTCGAGACCTGGCCCGTGGGAACCAGCTCTCGGGGCCCCGGGCCCAG